GGTGTGCCGACATGGGTGTACGGAGGAAGATGGGGAGGAGGAGGAGACGAGGAGAGGAGAGGAGACGCGGGCCACCGTCTCTTCAAAACGAGGACCCAACAACGCAGGTTGGTTGGGAATAAGGGAATCCATAAGATGGGCATCGTGATGATGAGGTGCCCAGCATAGGGATATGGATCTGTTCCAGGCTGGTAACACGGCTCGCGAAAAGCGAGGTCGGCCAGCAGCGCCCCGGCCTGCGCGGCGCGCTCGGGCAGCACCTCCTCGGCCTGCGAGGCGAACTCGCCGAGCCCGCGGCCCGCCGGGGCTCGGCCACAGCGGCGCCCTGGCCCGCACGGCGAGCTCCGGGCGCCCCTGCTCATCGCGGCAGACTGGCGGGCGCTCCGCGGGGGGCGGCGCTGCGCTGGCCCAGGAGGCGAGCGACGGAGGGCAGAAGGAAGATGGGGGGGGGAGATTTCCGGGTTGCGCTCGGATGCGCCGAGGAGACGGTCAGCATGGTGCGGCACTCACTATAGCTGCTGGCAGAAACACGCGGTATCTACCAGCACGGGCGCCAAGGTTTGGGGAAACTCCCCGCCCCCGATGAGGGGGGGGAGGGGGGGCGGGAGGGAGGAGGACACCCAGACCCCCCACGTCGGGACTTTTCACAGCGTCGACCCCCAGAGAAGTCTGGACCCTTTCCGGTCGGGACTGGCTCTTCATCCTACACGATTCGTTTTCGGAAGGCCCTGGGGCCAGGCGAGGGCCCCCCCGGGGCCGACGATAGCGAAAGCCCTCCCATCGTGATGTTTTCACGGCGCGAAGGGGTCTGGGAGGTAAGGTGAGGGGGGGGAGGGGGGGCGGGAGGGAGGAGGACACCCAGACCCCCCACGTCGGGACTTTTCACAGCGTCGACCCCCAGAGAAGTCTGGACCCTTTCCGGTCGGGACTGGCTCTTCATCCTACACGATTCGTTTTCGGAAGGCCCTGGGGCCAGGCGAGGGCCCCCCCGGGGCCGACGATAGCGAAAGCCCTCCCATCGTGATGTTTTCACGGCGCGAAGGGGTCTGGGAGGTAAGGTGGAGAAAGGGGGAGGAGGAGGAGGAGGAGGAGGAGGAGGAGGAGGAGGAGGAGCAGACGGGATGGAGGAGGGAAGGGGGGGGGAAGAAGGAGGAGGGAGAGAGGAGGAGAGGAGGAGGAGGAGAGGAGGAGGAGGAGGAGGAGAGAGGAGGAGGAGGAGGAGGAGAGAGGAGGAGGGGGAGGAGGAGAGGAGAGGAGGAGGAGGAGGAGAGGAGGAGGAGGAGGAGGGAGGGAGGAGTAGGAAAGGAGGAGGAGGAGGAGGAGGAGGAGAAGGAGGAGGAGGGGGGGGAGGAGGAGGAGGAGAGGAGGAGGAGGAGGAGGAGAGGAGGAGAGGGAGGAGGAGGAGGAGGAGGAGGAAGAGGAGGAGGAGGAGGAGGAGGAGGAGGAGGAGGAGGAGGAAGAGGAGGAGGAGGAGGAGGAGGAGGAGGAGGAGCTCCCTGCAATGCACCTCAGAAGCCCTGGCCTCGCTAGGCTGGGTCGACAAGGCGCGACGCATGCGAAACACGAGCCACCCAGCGGTGGGATCCTGCACCCACGCGGCCCACCGCGTCGTCCAATGGACAGCGGACGCGAACCCCGATGAGACTGCCAGCGCGTGGCCTCCCTCCGCAACTTATCCGCAGCAGAGTGCCCTGGCTACAGCAGGCACATGCGATACAACATCTTGCTACACGAAGTCCGGGGGCACATCCCTACTCGACTCTGAGCTGGGGGCATGCCCCCTCCAGGAGCAGCAAGAGCAAGAGGGCTAGGGGGGACTGGGGAGAGGAGAGGAAGGGGGAGGGGGGGAGGAGGAGAAGGTTCACGATGACGTCGGCGACGTTGACGCTGACGACGTCGACGTTGACGCTGACGACGCTGACGCTGGCGACGACGGCGAGGCTGCGCGCTGCCGTCCTCGACGTCCCCCAGCGCCGCCGAATGAAGCATGCTGAAAAGCCGGACCTCCGCGGTGGTGGGCGTCGGGGAGGAGCGAGGAGGAGGGCTCGAGCAGGAGGAGGGGAGGAGGGAGGTGGGAGATGCGTAGGGAGGGGGGCGATGAGGGAGGAGGGAGGGAAGGAGGAGAAGGGAGGGGAGGAGAATGCAGATCAGAGAAGGCTTAGAGGCGAATGAAGAGGGAGGAGGGCGAGGAGGGAGGAGCGGGAGGAGGCGGCGGCGCTCATCGGGGACAAGAGCCAGGCACGTGCCACCACACGCAGGCCATAAAATATCTATACGACCAACCTGGAGATAGGGGAGAAAGAACCAACTGCTGGCAAATGCGATGGGTTTGATGATGACGATGCTGATGACGCGCCCTCGAGTTAGCGACGACGCATGATGACGATGTTGCGCTGCGAAGCCATGTCACTATCGTCCACGCTTTCTATGTCACAATCCATGTCACAACCAACCTCGCTGTCGGTCTCACTTTTTGATCTCACCATCCATCCCATTCTATAGCGATCTCATTATCGATCGCACTACTGACTTCACTGCCGATACCACAGCGGGACACCTCCGGCCACCGCCCGCCCACCGTCGACGGGACACCAACGGGGCACTAACGGGACACCACAAGACACCACGGCGGGACACCCCGGGCCACCGCGCGCCCACGGGGGGCGGATGGAACGCCCCCCTCTGCATCCGCATCGCCCTATAGCGACGGCGGGGTCCATCCGCTCGCCTCGCCTCGCCCGCACGACACAAAGACGAAAATCACACCGATTTCGGGGGGGCTCTACGTTCCCCTGCGACCTCTCCCCCCGACCTCCGACTCCCTCGAGTGCGGGGGACAGCGGTGCATTCGCACGGAAAGAGAGAGAGAGAGAGAGAGAGAGAGAGAGGCGGGCGACGGGAAGGGAGGAGGGCGAGGAGGGAGGAGGGGTAGGGTAAGAGAGGAGGGATAAGAGGAGGGAGGGGAGGAGGCGTAAAAGAGCACCCCCAGGACGCATCAACGACGCTGCATCAGTGTGCTGACTGGCCTTCCCTTTCACCACTGGAAGCACCCCCATTGAAAGACGAGCGCCCCAACGGCATGCCTCTCAGGGGAGAGCCACGTCTTGGAAAGGGTACGCCCCTCATTACTGCAGCTACGAGCAGCGCAACGCAGCAGGATCATACAGCACGAGGAAGTGTCCAACAAAAGCTCCGCTGCGAAGAGGAGCTGCGCTCCACCCCGTGTAGCTGCTGCAACGGTTTACGCTTCTGGTCATGACGTTCGAACATGTAAGAAGCGATCGCCCAAGCCTGAAAATGACCGCTCTCCAAGCCCAGCCGCAAGTGTCAAGCGAAAGGTTCACATTTGATACGGAAGCGCCCGTCGATCCACGCAGCTGCTGAACATATGCACGCAAGAAAAACGTGTGCGACCCTGAGGCGAGAAACACATTGGAAACAATTCGCCCTGCATCCAGATCCGTAACCGTTTGATACTGTGAGGAGGTATCATACCTCCCTCCTCCTCGCCTGCCTCCCTCCTCCTCCTCCTCCTCCTCCTCCTCCTCCTCCTCCTCCTCCTCCTCCCCCGCATCCTCCCGACTGGACGCACCGCGACCTGCGCATCCTGATCCGAGACACCACCACCGCCACACCACCACCTTCTCCGCCCGCTCGCGCTCATCCTCCTCCTCCTCACGGTCCTCCTCCTCCTCCTCCTCCTCCTCCTCCTCCTCCTACCTTCCCTCCTCTCCCGCCTGCTAAGCATCATCCTGTCACCCGCCATCGTCCTCGCCGTTGCCACGCTATACAGAGAACTCTTCCGCCGCAGCGCCCGACGCGTGGGACGGGGCAAGCTGGCCAGGCGTCTACGAGCGCGCGCGCGTAGGACGGGAGGGCGCGCCGCAGCGCCGCAATGCGGGGTGTTGGCCTCACCCTGCCAACCATCACGACCGGGAGCGTTTGCGTAGCGCGTCGCGGCGACGGCCCCCGCGACATTCAGACCCTGCAAGTGGATGGCGTGTTGCTCCGCTCCGAGGGGCAGAAGGCTGGGGAAGGCTCGGGCCGTTGACGCCTGGGGACCGCGAGGTGGGTAGCATGTCGCGCCGATGCGTGGTGGGCCAGAACTGGTGAAGCGACACGCTAGGCAACGTTCCCGACCGTGTGGCCCTCCTCTCTGGACAAGTCCAGCCATCCTCTCCTCCCACCCACTGGGGAAACCCTCGCCCCGCCGATCGAACTGCCATCTCTCCCTCCACGCGGGGATGGTTGGCGTGCCCCCTCAGGGTCTCGAGGCGCCCATCCCCGCCTAGCGGGGGTACTCTGGGAGAGCTCTCTTGCCCTGTCCTGGTCGGGGTGGGGATGGCTCTGACGTGCTCACGGAGCTGGAGGGTCCCCATGGGCATGGGGGGGGGTTAGCTGTCGCTCCCGCCTCCACTGAAGGGGCCCCGGGACACACAAATGAACACACACACACAAATACCAGGACTCACCGTAATGTTCCATATGTTTTGCATGTTCGTCTTCCCCCCCCACTTCCCATATCTCTGCATATCTTCCTGGGAATCGACGACTCATGGTGTCTGTGTGCTTTTCCCCAGCTCGACTCCCGCGTGGGCCTCCCGTGGGCCCCGCGGCAGCTTACCGGGCGCAGCGGGCAGCCAGGCTGCTCGGGACTCGCGGAGGCTCTGTGCAAAACTTCGTCGCGGCGTATTGGCGGCGCGCACAAGGGGGTGGGGGGAGGGGGGAGGGCTTCTTAGAAGGAGGCTGCTTCTCAGAAGGAGCCGGCCTCACATCTATAGATACGGCCCTCGCCTTCTAAGAAGCAGGGGTGCTTCTAAGAAGCCCTCCCCCCTCCCCCCACCCCCCTCTGCGCGTGGCTGAGCGTACCTGGCGGAGGGGGTCGGCCTCGCGGGCTCCAATCGGGCCGGGCGAAAGGGGAGGACAGCAGAGGAGGGGGTTGAGAATCAGCTCACGCAGCTGATTTTCCCGGCGCCTCCCGGCGCCAGAGGCGGCCATGTATCGAGGACTGGGCCCCTCGGTGGGGCCGAAACCAGCTGCATGCAGCAAATTTCGTACCCCCCCTTTCCCAATCCCCCCTTTCGTCCGGCCCGAGATCTGTGCTCTTCGTCACGGCGTACCTGGCGGAGGAGGTCGGCCTCGCGGGATCCAACGTGAACCTGCTGGAGGAGGTGGCAGCGAAGATTCACACAGAAGGGCATCCGTTCGTTATGACTGCCGATTGGGACGCTGCTCCGCGGAGGTGCTGGCTTGTGGAGTGCACAAGTTCCTGAAAGCTACTCTGGTTGTTCCTTATGAGCCGCGAGAGGGGGGTGGTGGACGGCGTATCCCAATCCCCCCCTTCCGTCCGGCACGAATCATGCCTGGGGAGTTGCCGCCGAGGGGGAGGAGGAGGAGGAGGAGGAGGAGGAGGAGGAGGAGGAGGAGGAGGAGGAGGAGGAGGAGGCGGAGGCGGAGGAGGAGGAGGGGGAGGAGGAGGAGCTCAAGTCCGTACGGGGGGGAAGCAACGTAGTTGCGAGGTAACCTGATTGGTCTTGTTGCCCATCCGTGGCCACTCTCAAGGCCGTTTCAGGCCAGGTTTTTCGCGAGCACGATCGATCCCACGGCGAGCCGCCTGCGCGGCCGTGGTTCCGTTTTCAGGAAGAAGGGACCTCTCAAGCCATGGCGCCAGGATGATACTGTGGCAAGTGCGGGTTCTTCAACTACGGGCACCGTCGCGTCTGCCGCCAAAGTGGATGTGATGGATGCAACCCAGTTCAAGCAGTTCGGCCTGATCAGAGTTACTGGCCACAGTACTCGGTGCCAGGCGGTGTGTGGTATCAAGGGCCTCCAGCGCTTCGACAGAGTGATGGAGGCAAAGGTGGCGGCAAGTACGACAAGGGCGGCAAGAAGCGCCTTGGGGGGGGGGAAAGTCCCCTCAGGGCGGCAAAGGGCCAGGTGGTGGACAACCGCCACGGGCCCTCGCTCAGGAGGAGCGCGAGATGTGGATGGCCATGTCGGAGGAGCAGTTCGCCGTTCTGGGTCAAAGCTTGTCGCAGTCGCACAGAGATCAGCTCGCCCACGCTCGTGCCATGGCCAACTTCGGGCTGCAGGGCGCGCAGGCGGAGGCGCAGCAGGCAAATCTACAGATTGGGAAGTTCTCGCAGCAGGTGCTGCACCAGAAGCAGAGGCTCGCGAATCTGGAGGAGCAGGCGCAGCAGGCGATCATGGCGGCGGTCGAGGCCAAGCAGCAGTTGCAGGAGACGGAGAAGCAGCTGCGCGAGGCCAAGCGGCGCGCGGCGGAGCACCTGGGGCCCCAGGGGCTGGCGCAGCAGGTCGCGACCGACGCGGTCGAGACGCCGATCAAGGAGGCGCTGGGCAAGTTCGAGCAGGCGGTGCCGTCGAAGATTGCCCCGCAGCTGCAGGGCGCGGTCGCTGCGCTCAGGGCGGCCATGGAGGCGGTGGCGCAGCAGGCCGCGGCGGCGATGCAGGGGAAGCCGCCTGGGGGCGCCGCGGCGTCAGGCGGCACCGGTGGCGCCGCCGCCGCGCGCGCGGGAGCGGGCGCCGCCAGCGCGGGAGGCGCTGGCGCTGGTGCCCCGCCGCCAGGCGCCCAGGGTGCCGCAGGCAGCGGCGCCGACACGTCGCGCGACGTCAAGATGGTGGAAGCTGATGGTGGTGTGCTTCTTGACCTTCGCTCTCAGCTGGAGTCCGATGGCCAGCTCAAGGACCCCGAAGTGCAGGCCACCATCCAGAGCCTGTTCAGCAAGGCGACCCAGCGCCTTGAGGAGGAGAAAGCAGAGTTGGCAAAACGAGAAAGCCGCAGCAGGAGCCCAGGATCGAGATCTAAGTTGTCCAGTTCCTAGCCTGTGGAGTTTCTTCTCGGCCAATGTCACCAGTTGGCCGAGATGCCAGAGCTATTTGGAAAAGGAATGTGATGGAGTCACATGTTTCCTTCAAGAGTGTAAAGTCGAGAAGGCCGATCTGGCCCAATCCAGCAGCACACTTTTGAAGTTTGGATGGAATGTAAGGTTAGGAGCCTGTGAGGTGACCCAGTCTGGAGGCCTGTCTTCGGGGGTAGGAGTCGCCTGTAGAGTAGGAGTAGGCATGGGTGCCCTGGAAGGTATGCCGAGACCAACCTCGAGAGTTGCCTCAGCGTGGATAGGTGGTTTGCTGAAAGGTGGCATCATAGGGGCCTCGGTCTACTTACCGTCGGGGGAAGGTGCAGGTGCCCAAGGGCGCCAGATCCTGATGCAGCTCGGAGAGACCCTGCACACGTCTGGGAAGCCCTTTGTAATTTGGAGGGGATTTCAATGCGACGGCAGATGAAATCAGAGCTCTCGGGATCCTTGAGAAGTTCGGAGGTGTTATTATCCAGCCTGGGAAGCCTACGTGCAGAGTGGGTAAGGAATGGAGAACGATCGATTATTTCATAGTTCCAGGAGGCCTTGTTCCAGCAGTGGTAAGATGCGATAGGATCGAAGAGACAGAGCTGTCGACACATTATCCAGTCAAGCTAGCACTTCGCACGGATTCGCGTCTTGCTCAGATTCGCGTCCTGGCCAAACCTCGTCAGTTTCCCGATGAGCTACCAGTGGGACCTGCACCAGCCCCACCGCAAGCTTGGGAAGAATTTCTAGATAGGTTGGAGACCTTCGTGGCAGGCTCGGTCTTCACGGCAGAGCAGGCGAAGGCTACGCATGCTGAGTTCTGTGCTTTGGCCGAGCAGGAGCTGGTGAACACTTACCAGATCGCTCCTGCGCAGGCTGATGGGTACAAAGGAAGAGGAGCCCCTTTCAGGTTCGTTTGGAGGCCTGCTCTAACGAAAGTCGGGGGCCCCTACCCTCTGGGATCTCCAGTATCCAGGGCAATGAGGAAGTATAACGTCAGGATGGAGGAGTTGTTGTTTCTGCTCCGCAAGGGCCGTTCAGGCCAGGATAAGCAGGTGCAGGACTTGCTGAAAAAGGCAAGGGAGCCGCCCACGATCTTGTGGGCGCGCGAGCGCTGGGTCAACTGGAGGCGTAAGCATTTTTCTCTGGAAGGCTACCACGCCGAGGCGCTGCACGAAGCGATCCAGGACCATGTAAAGTACATCCAGGGTGAGGAGCAGGTCTGGAAAAGGTCTCGGCAACAAGAGTGGAGACAATGGGCCCGCTCGGCCCTGGAACATGGCGGGGGGAAAGCTCACAAGTGGACGAAGCAGCCCAACGACTGGATCCCCGCGGACCCTGGCCTCGATGGGGCCCCTGGAGGTTTTCAGGATCAGGTGGGGGCCCTGGAGGAGGAGTGGAAGCACATCTGGAGGTTCGGGGAGGTGCCCAAGGTCGCTCCCAGGATGCTCAATGAGATGCCCCTCGAGGACCCGAAGCCGCCAGTTGCGCCAGATAAAATCAGGTCCGTCTTGGGGAAGTTCAAGAAGCATACAGCTGTGGGAGTTTGCAACTGGGCCCCGCACGCGCTGAAGCAGCTCTGTTCTTCTGGCTTGCTTGCCCTCGGTGTCTTGATGTATATGTGGGACACGTGCACCCAGATGCCCGAGCAGATTGCGCTGCTCATTTTGCCGTTTTTGCAGAAGCCTGAAGGGGGGGGGGAGGCCCATCGGGATCATCTCCACCCCAGTGAGACTCTACAGTCGACTTCGGCATGAGGAGGCGGAAAGGCGGGAGGACAAGCGCGCACGCACGTACATGTATGGAGGAAAGGGTAAGAGTTGCGAGATGGCTATCTGGAAGCAGGCTTTGTTGAACGAGGCCGCTCGAGCCAGTAAACTTTTCAGTGGGTGCACGCTGATTGATCTGGAAAAAGCGTACGAACGCATCACGCACGAGCAATTGATACGAGCATGCAACAAGCGCGGGTTCAGTTTGAGGAGGTTGAAGTTTCTCATGTTGGTCTACTCGGGCAAGCGGGTCATTAAAGTAGGAGAAGCGGTGTCCATGCCCTTTGAGCTGAACACCACCATAGTGGCAGGCTGCTCGTATGCGACGACGCTGCTGAAAGTAGTGCTGTTAGATGTTTTCGACGCGGCGGCCAAGAAGTGGCCGAGGACCGGTCTTTCTTTGATGGTGGACGACACTGGTCTCCAGGCCGTGGGTGATCAGAAGCATGTGCGGACTCAACTAGTTAGGTGCACTCTGTTTGTTTGCAGGTCCCTGGAGAAGCTCGAGCTGAAAGTTTCGAGACGTAAATCGATCCTGGTGGCCTCGGACCCGAAATTAGGAAAGCAGCTGGCATGGGCGCTTCGGGAATTCGGGTTTAAGCATGTTCAGGCGACCAAAAACCTCGGGGTCGATTTCAAGCTGAGGGCTGGAAAGGGTAGAAATGTCACTAAAAAGCGACGGACGACGACCAGGGGCAGGGTGCGACGGTTCAGGGCTTTCAGATTCTCTCGGAAGCCGCTTCAGAATGTTTATCGAGGAGGCCCCACACCGGCGGTCATGCATGGTGTTTCGGTCGTCGGCCTCGGCGACACGCAGTTGGAGCAGCAGCGCGCCTCGACAGGTGCGGCTCTTTTCGGGCCTGTGAAGGGCCGCAGCCGCAGCTTGCAGTTCCTGTTGGCTGAGGTCGAGAAGCTCGACCCGATGTTCGCAGCAAATCCTTTGCCTCTGCAGATGTGGGTCAGAGCAGTATTTGATTCGTGGGCCACGGATGCCCAGATGAAGCACGCCTTCGACTACGCGGTCAATGCTAGGTCTCAAGGGTGGAGGACGGTCCTAGGCCCAGCAGGAGCGGTAGTGCTCACCCTTCAGAGACTCGATTGGGAAGCTGTTTCCTGGGATGTTTGGGTTAACACCGACGGAGTGACCATCAACATCAAAGGAGTAGGGCCTAGGACGGTGCAAACCCTAGCGGATGAAGCGACTAGACGGTTGCTGCGTATACGTGCGGGAGCTCATTACAATGTCTCTGGGGGGCCATATGTGGAGCCTCTGCGTGCTGAACTTGCTAGGTTAAGAGGTGCTGGAGATCATCTTGGGGTCAGTCTGCTTATTGCTCAGGTTTCTGGAGGTCTCTGGACTCAGGCTGATGTTTCCAGGAAGAGGTACGTGATAGATGATCGGTGCCAGTTGTGCCTCCAGAAGAAGGGTACGGTTTTCACCGAATATGGGGCTGTGATGGCTCCAAGCTGATCAGGAGGGACCATGACCATAGTGGAATGGGGGCCGCAGCCAGGGCCCTGACACAGCCTGACATCCTGTTCACGAGAGCCCTGGTGGACTCCAAGAGGACCGAGTTCCCCAAGATCCTCCAAGGTGCTGAGTATAGGTGGGCTGCGAAGCCCGCGAGTGGAGCGCTAGGCGACACTGTCTGCATCGACGGTTCCGCCTACGACGGAGATATTCGTTGGCTTTTACGTGCTGGCTGGTCGGTCGTCTCCATCAGCCCGAGCATGCAGGTAGATGCAGTGGCCTACGGGCCTTCCCCTCTCCCAGTGCAGGACGTGCCGTCCAGTGAGCTTTACGCCTTCTACATGGCGCTGTGCCTCATGGGGCCCAGTATCCACATCATAACGGATTGTAAAATGGTCTACGACGGGTGGAGCATGGGAAGGGAGGGGACGGCAAAATCCAACAAGTACCACGCGGAGCGTTGGCGCCTCATCTGGAAGAGGATCGAGGACGTCGGAGATAATTCGGTGAATGTGAGTTGGATGCCTTCGCATATGCCGAAGGCGGCGGCGGAACGACGAGGTTATGAGCCTCATTGGTTCAGAGGAAACCAGGAGGCGGACTCCTGGGCCAAGGAAGGTGCCAAGGCGCATCCAGCAAATCATCGCCTTCGTGATCGTCTGCGGCATCATCATGATCAGGTTACGTTCATCTCCAGGTATATGGTGGCTGTTCTCAAGCATGTCCATCAACTGGGTTATCCTGATGTGCCTTCATACTCTGAGCGTGCCAAAAGAGAGCCTAAGAATTCGGAGGCCCCGATTCTCGAGATAGTCCCAGATGATAAGGGTCACGTTGTCTCGCAGGCTCCTGGCGGTGGGTGGGGGTGCAGCGTCTGTCGGCTGGCGCAGCTGCCGTGCCCTGGGGTCCCGAGGATTGTGTCCCAGGCCCACCCCACCCATCGTCTCTGGCAGAATGGAGGTTTGACCTGGTGCGCGCGCTGTGGAGCGTATGCCCGTTCGAAGGTCAAGGAATTAAGCAAGGAGTGTTCAGGGAACCCCGACACTGATTGGAAACGGAAAGCCCTGGGGATTTTGAAGCAGGGGAAGGATCCCTCGTACTCTAAACTGGAGGCGGTTGTCCCTGTCCCCCTCAGGCGCTGAGTTTCCGAAACTCTTTAAAGGGCGGGCGTCTTGTGTTATTGGGGCGACCGCTGAGGGGCGCAAGAGCGCCAGAGGAGGTGGAGGGGGGGGGGGGGGCGGTGGACGGCGTATCATCGACTTTGCGCTAGTCTCAAGCGTTCTTGCGAGCTCGGTCAAGGTGTCCTGGGACCTAGGCGGGCCATGGGCCGAGCCGCATCTCGGCATCTGCGGTTCGCCAGGAAGGGGAAGCCCGGGAGCAGGATGCACAGCAGCTGGTTCCCGTCCCACGTCTTTTCGCAGGGACCTTTGGGCCTGATTGACCTTGGGATCGCCGTGAAGAGCTCGTTCGCCACTTGGCAGATGCAGGGCCCCCGCCACAGCACGCGCGTCTAGGAGTTGAGAGCATTTGTAACTTGACTCAGAGATACGCGCACTTCAACTTAGCAGCTGAGAAGCGACCTGCGCGAGTAGACAAGGGCATTCAGTCGGCCATCATCATAGAGGCCGGCACCCACAGCTGGAAACCGCTCTGCATATACACAGAGGCAGTCCGCACAAGGCAGGCACGCGTGAACTAGGCTTCTAGAAGATGGCAATTGCGCGCATCCAGCAGGAGTTAAGTCTCCCGAGTCGCAAGAAGGAGTCCGAGGGCAGAACGAACCTGGCCCGCAGGGTTGTGGGCTGGCTGGCGAATGTGGAAATTACCCCGTCCCGGCTTTCTCATGATGATGATGATGCTCTTCAGCGCCCACTCGCCCTAGCAGCTCCAGCCCCCCCAGAGGAGGCCGAGGAGGAAAAGGCTGAGGAGGAGGAGGACGTTGAGGAGGTTGGGGAGGAGGCAAAAGAGGTTGAGGAAGGTCATGTGCAGCTAATCCGGCAGGCTGTTCGCCAGCTCACCCAGGATCCTTTCTCTGCCAGGGCAAAGAAAGGATACAGGGGAGGTCCTTACTGCGGCCAAGCGCACTCGGGATAAAGCTGATAAATCCGCCTTCCGGGAACAGCAGGCAAGTTTCATGAAATGGTTGCGCGACAGTTTGCAGGGTGGCGCGAGCTGGGCGCACCGGCACACAACGCACTGGGGGCACCGTCCGGCAGAAGCGCAGCAGGAACAGGACGAGGCTGGGCAGCTCGAAGGAGGTATGCAGGCGACAGTGCAGAGGAAGCAGGAGCGCTGGCAAGGTTCCTGGCAGGCATCCCCGGAGCGCCCCTTGGAGCAACAGAAGCGGCAGGAGTTCAGAGAGGCAGCGGAGGCTGAGAGAGGTGAGCTCCCCCCGCTGACCCTGGATTAGTTATCCACTGTCTGCGGCAGCTTCGCGAGGCAATTGGGCATGGGGGTGGACCGGTGGCATCCCTCACTCTGGAAATCTCTCCCGCCAGGGGCGCTGGAAGAACTTCTGGATATTATTATTGGCATCGAAGATGAGCTAGCGTGGCCAGCCCATGCTTGTAAATGAAATTGGTCTTCACCCTATGCCGCCTCCACAAAGAGGGGACAGGCCAATTGCTCGCACGCAGACCCTGTATCGCGTGTGGGGGAGGCTTCGGAAAGAACCCATGGTGTCCTGGGAGGCTGCCAAGGCGGGCTTTTGGGATATTGCTGTGCGTAATTCCAGTTCGTTGCGAGCGGGGCTGCTGCGAGCCCTCAAAGTGGAAATAGGTCGGTACATAGGCTTAGACTGGGCACAGGCCATGATCGACTGCGAGAAGTTCTTCGACACGTCAAAGCCTTTCTTCACCTTCTATTACGGCCGTGCCTTAGGTTACCCAGTAGCTATTATGCACTTGGGGATGTCAGTGCATATGGCCGACCGTGCCATTACAGTGCAAGGTGCAGCTTCCGACTTTATCCAGATAGCAACATCGATATTGGCAGGCTTTGTTCAGAGTGTGGCGTGGAGTCGAGCATATCTGCACGATATGCTTCGTGAAACCCATGCCCGTTATCTTCCGCGAGGGCTGATGCAGGAAACACACCGAGGTCTTCGTCCACTGGAGGTTCGGACCTGAATGGATGACACAGCTTTGCAGGCCTTGGGGAAGGCGCCGGATGTAGTCAGACAGTGCTCCGAAGCTCTGATCCATGTATCCCGTCGCATGCAAGGGCAAGTAAGACAGCCAACCCAAGCTCGTTCAGCAGATTGCTGCCAATGTCCAGGCAAGATGTCATCAATCTCCAATCTGTCACTGCCTGTCGCGATTTGAGAATCTAGTTTTCGAGTAAGAGGCGTAGTGCCGTCACGGTCCAGGGTAGGATTAAGAAAGTTTCTGCTCGCGCTTTTCGCATTCAACGCTTAATCAAAGCCAACCCCACGGCGAAACGCCTAAACCGCACTGGTTATAAATCCCAGGCCTCGCGGGGCCAGGAAGGGCAGGGAGCTGCCCCCAGCACCCTTCTGAATATCGGGAGCCAGATAACCTCCATGAGCGGCGTGCAACGTGATGGAGGATGCGCCGCGGTCTCGCTCCGCATAGGGTTTACGCAGCTAGATGATCCATCAGTGTTTGGCCGCCTCGACTTGGTCAAGTCTTGATTGGAAGTTGCGCCGCAAGTAGGCTGGACCACGCCGTGTCTTTCCAATGCGTGGGCATGCTGCCGGCGCGCCATAGCGGGTGCTAAGTCTCCATGGTGTAAAGTGAAGGGCCCCATGGATGCCTTGGCGATGCTACTCCAACTTGGCTGGGATCCTGTGAGCCCACACAAGTGGCTAGACGATACAGGACAGGTGTATTTTCTTGTTCTGGAGCTTGCCACCGACCAGCGCACCCCCTTTTACCTTGAGCCCGCTAGGGGCAGCCCCCAGGGATGGAGGCAGTGCGTTTTGGCGGAGGTGGAGGGGGCGCTGGAGCAGAAGGTGTGGGAGCAGCATGCGTCTCAGCATTTCTGTGGAGCAGGTTTGGAACTCGGGCGTGACCTCACTCCTCTCCGCCGCCACCTCGCGAGGTTGAGGTCTAAGGGTGAGGCTAGTTTGGCTGCCGTCCTCGAGATGGAGGCCACCGGCGCCCTATGGCCCGCCACGAGGCGCGCTCCCCAGGCCCCCGTCGGGTCCGAGGAGAGGCGTTGCCGGCGGTGTGGACAGGAGGAGGAGGAGGAGGAGGAGGAGGAGGAGGAGGAGGAGGAGGAGGAGGAGGAGGAGGAGGAGGATCTTTTTCACCAGATGTGGGGCTGCCCCTGCAGCCTCCCTCTCGCCACCGAGGACCTCTTCCTTGCCCAGGAAGCCCGCGAAGAACGTGCTGAATTCCCTACGTTTTTGGCTCCGCGGTTTGACTCCCGTTTTATGGGTCAACGACCTAGCCGATTCGTGGCCGGAGGGCCAGGCCCATTTTGCAGGAACATTCGATGCAGGAGGGCGCGTGCCCTCAGGCGCTGATGTTAGGGTCCAGTCGGACGGGAGTGGGGGGGGATTGTACTGACGATAAGCGCCTCCGTCGTTGCGGATGGGGTTGCGCCATTGTCCAGGGAGGCCGTGTGGTAGGCAGAGCGTACGGCACTCTTCCAGGACGGATCCAGATGGTTCCCCCAGCGGAGCTGGTTGGTATCACCGTAGCTTGGCAGGGCACTACTGGTGAATGTCATTTTGCGCTCGACTGCCAGAGCGTGATTGATGGGTTTCGTCATGGACCCCAATGGAAGCACGAGGCAGATTCGGCAGCGTGGCTCGATTTTTGGGAGGCCTATGAAGGCCATCCGAGGCCGTGCCACTTAAAAAGGTAAAGTCCCACCTCGAAGAAGGGGATGTTGGGGTCTACATTACCCGAGAAGACTTTACCGCCGA